ACGGATATTCGGCTTCGTGTGAGCGTTGCTCGTTAAAATAAAAAGCCACATTTTATACGCTCAGTCCACATTTTATCCGCGAAATTAGCTTCATTAGCTGCTGTCGCGGAAGAGAGGACGTATGATTGAGGAAGCAAAGGAGAGAGAAAAAAAAGAAAGGGAAAAGAGGAAGGCTTGCCACGCTCGTATTTTTATTTGAAGAAGAGCAGACCACGTCATGAAAAGAGGACGCCTGGCGATCGTGATACGTGAGCCAGTGAATTGCTCGGTATTCGCGAACGCATACATTTATATGTGTGTGTGTGTGTGTGTGTGTGTGTGTGTGTGTGTAATATATATATATATATATATATATATTCCACTCGCTGGCGCTCGCGTCGAATCGAGGTGTTTGCGTCTTTAAGGTGCTCGAGGTGCTGATCCGTGGCCGGGCCAATAATTTAGGCGTTTTCGAGAGGGATCCTGGCAATAATTTAACCCGGGGAGGCCTAAACCGGCAGCTGCGCCACGACAGCAGGCACGGGGCGACGGAGTCGCGATAAACTCTCATAATTCACTTATGGGATATCCACGGCGTATCAGCGTCTCAGCCTCCGCTCCGGCCCCCGTCTCTCGCTCGCGTCGCTTAAACAGCGCTTCGTGCCGAGGAACTCTCCATTCAATGCGAATGCGTGTTTCGTAACGTTTGTATATACACGCGCGGGCGCGCGATTATTCATAGGTATGCATTGTGCACGAGTCCGTACGGATACGCCGGATATCAACTGGAAGCAGGAGCGGCCCGAAGGTGATGGACCCCCTCCCGAGGAAAAGTAGGAATAACCAAGTGCGATTTGTCGTGCGATTTGTGTCGTTGCATTTTATCGCGTGATACGCACAGTCGTAACGCTCGATAGACATTTTGAAAAATTGTGCGTCACTTGACGAGCGTTTTGAACAATTTTTGCGATAGGTGTTGATCTTGTGGCTTCGCGCCTTTCCCTTCGTTTTCATAGGATTACGCATGGAGACGAAAGTTTCGCAACTTGATTTGTCTTACGAACAGTTGGATTTTCGGCCGACGGAATCTCAACGTACGAGTGATCGTTCAAGGAGAAAAGTAGTTTAGAGGGACGGTAGACTGTTGTAGCAGATAAATAAATATATAAGGTGTTTCTTGAGTATATTGCCCGATATATTTTTAAAAGTTGATTTTTGAGGTCATTTTACGAAGAAAAGTTTATACGAACGTACGTTCATTTCTTCGTAAAATGAGCTCGAAATCAACTTCTAAGATATTGGACGTTACTTAGGAATTATCCCGTACATTTATTTGCAACATGGCAGCATAAAATTTGCTGTCCCCCTAAATGATTTTTCTCTGTGTTTGGACTGGCGTGACTCTGTTCGTACGTCCCACTGAGCCGGTTTCTTGGGCCGGCCCTGGCAGAAACAAACGGCAGACGTAAATTTCGGTACAACGTGCCGCGGGATAGACGGATAATTAATTCTACGCGAAACGATGCCGCGTACGGGCTGTGCGCGAGCCTCGAAGACGGCGGGAGGAAGTTAAAAAGTACACCTGTGCATGCGGTGTAACCCACCTGGGGATTAATGGGATAATTGTGAGCGCACGATGGGGAATTCAGTCACTGTCTGGCTGCGCCGAAGTGCGCCTCGCGTCATTAAAATGCATGTGAATGATAGCGTCTTGTAATTGTAAGAGATTAGTACGCAAGGAAATTTCCCCGTGACTCCACTTTCTCCTTCTTACGAACGATGTAAAGGAGATCCACCGGAAATTTTACGTCTTGTTTAGATATTTCGAGACTTTTTCACAGGCGGATGTTAGTACAGCTGTCGAAATTTTTAGTTGCCCACTTATTGTTAACCGAGCGAACTGTATTGTGGAAAGAAAGATCGGAATATATCTGGAGGTGCTTGTTTCTATACGCAGGTGTCTATTTTTAATGTGTATTTTTAACGAGATGAAAAACACCGGGGCGAAACGGATTTAGCTGAGATCAAGAACTCGGGATTTCCATTCGGCCAGGCGACCACTCTTACCCGCTGAGTTATTTAAGCGGGCTGAAAATATTAATTGAACTTACCTGACGATAAATAAACCAAACCTGGTTGGCGGAAACAACATTTCTGGTTACATATTCCAGTTCTACCGAGAATCAGCATTTCGTTCGTTGGAGAATCAGGGAAATCCCGTTTTCTTCAACCAACACGCGTTTAGTTCGTTCATCGTCAAGTAAATTCAACTAAACTATTTTTTCCCGTGCATTCCATGTTGCAGCGGCACTTTTACTTGAATACAGCTAGGAAATTAATATTCGATAACGTTCGTATTTTTTTCTCTCTCTCTCTCTCTCTCTTTGGGTATCGTTGCGCTAATCCAATCAAGACGTCGATACCGGCGGTCGCGGCTGCACGTTATAATGATCCCTCGTGGTCAGAGATACGTATCGCATCGGCCTCCTCCTCATTCCCAGCCGTTTCTACGCCGTGCAACGTGCAATCTGGCGACTGGTGATGGCCGGTGACGGTGGCAATGGTGTGGCGCTTGCACAATAGATTCAGTTTGATACATCGCCGTGGCACAGGAGACCGTTAATTTCGTGGCCTCCTGCCCCACAATACCCCACACATCCCCTCGCCCGTCCTCCGCGTTTAGATTGCTATTCTCCGTCAAACGTCGTTCACGTTAATAACTCATCCAAGTAAATAATAGCAGTTAACGCTACGCGGCCGAGAATGCCGCGTAGCCCGTCATTACTCAGATTTCACTGTGTTGCCGATCGGCTCTAAGCGCAATTTGCATTCAATTTATTTCGCTACCGAGCGATCTCTCCGTCGTGGAGAAACAAGGACGGTTGTTTAACGATCAAATTGCGATTTAGCGTTCGAAAGGTTTTACTTTAAGCACACGTTCGTTCGCTTACCGCCTGTCTCTCTCTCTCTCTCTCTTTCTTTTCCTTTCTCTCTCGCGGTAGACTCGACGTAATGTGATTTACGGCAACATTGTGTATGCGGGCACGCTCCTGACGTGTGCAATTTGCATCCATCTTTAAGGTCCTTCCCACGATTTAACAGATGACTCGGTATTCTCGCGGATACTCGACGGTGTGGTGAATAATGTAGTTTTAAAATGCTTTTCGAACTTTTATAAAGCGTCGACAAATAAAGGATCGCCCCGAACACCACCTCTATACGTCGGAGTTTGGCGTGCGAAAAGATTAACGATCGTTATCGTGCGCCATGAGCGCGCTGTATCGATGGCAGGACGAAGATATGCGGCGCGCGCGTTACAACGACGCGAAATTCAAGCACGTTCTGACGTACTTTAGGCAAATCGAAGAGTTTCAGTCGTACGAGGACGTCCTCTTTCCAAGCGACGAGAGACACACGTGCCTCGACTTTGAAGCCGTTCCACGCATGCCGAGAATTTCAGGCGCGCGCGTTAGTGACCTGACGTTGTTCACCGAAACGCCCCGGCGAACTAGACGTCAACCATGATTCCGACACGATGACACGTTCTACATTTCAAAGTCATCGTCCGTGTAACGTCATCGACGAATCGGCGCGACAGTCAGCGTTACAGAAACGAAATGGCCGGGTTTCGTGCTAGGTGCGGTCCGTTCGATTGCGAAGCGGTTCTTTCAGATACGGAATCAGTGACGTCATTATGTAACTGGAAGGCTCCGAAGCGTCCAATGGCTGTATCTTAAAAATTATAATCGTGATAAATATACACGGGCAAAATTATCGTTAAATCGATCGAATTTCCAGTGCCAACAGCACGCGAAATTCGAATAAATCGTCTCGATTCAATGGCAATGTGATGGAAACCGATACTTGAGTTGTTGAAACGATGTACGATGTATCGGTTTCAATAACATTTCGATAACATTTCTGTCGAATCTAGAAGATTCATGCCGATAAGATTTATCGGTTACACGCGCTGTTGGAAATTCTATTGACTCGACAGCATTTTTACCGTGTGGAAATGCACACGCAAATACTAACACTCTTTAAATTTCTTGAAATGAAGTTTTAGTTTTTGGGCAAGAAGAGTGACAGCCAAGTCACTAGAATTCGAATGATTTTTCACACTCGTACAAAGTGGATTCTGAATTGCCGAGTGAATATTTTCGCTCGGAACTGCAGAGAGAGAGAGAGAGAGAGAGAGAGTCTGATGTATTCCACCGTCACGGGAACAAATTCAGTCTAATCGGTTGAAACACTCACTCGTACGGAATCAGAATCCGCTCTAAGCTTAAATGAAACATTCGCGATTTCGAGTGGCAATATTTTGACTAGCGCTTCGAATGAAAACACTGCCGCTTGTCCCGAGTGAGATTTCACTCGAAGAAATTAAGAAAGTAAATATATATCTTAGCTTACCGCAAAATTTCTCTCCCGAAACCTCTCCCTCCTTCTCAAAATTCTCCGGAGTGAAATGTCGCTCGGAAAGTAGAGCGAAAGTCAAATCATTCGATTACGAATTCGAATGAATTCTCCGCCCTGAGCCGTCGAGCGAATATTTTCCCCCGTGATTGAAGAGTGAAACTATATCCCACCGTCATAGAAACAATTTCTCCGATCGATTGGAACGATTCACTCGCACAGAATCGGAATTTCCTCCGAGCTTGAGAGAAACGTTCACTCTTACGATCCCGATTTAGTTCCCCTGCTTCGAGCGTATCTCCACTCGTTTCGGGCGCGAGATCTTAGAGCCCGACAAATTCGGAGAGTAATTTTCGAACGCTCGTTATTCCGACACGGTTTCCCAAAGCTACGCCGTCAAGCTTTTAGTCAAGATCTCGAGCTCTCCCTTCATCGGACTCTCTCTCTCTCTCTCTCTCTCCGCCTACTTGAGAGAGTCCTCGGTCAGGAAAAAATCTCCCATCGGGGCGAACGTCCCAATTATCGTGCAGCACTGTAATAATCATAGTCGTGCTCTCTACGAGGTGTTCACGAATCGGCCGCTCATACGCTCTCATCCGTTTCAGGAACAATGCGAACGTCGTCGTCCCGCCCACCGCCGTGGCCGTGCCGAGGAAAGAGCCGCACGAGAACATCGCCCGGATAGCGAAGCGGTACCTCGACGATAACATGCAGCAGGCGTGGATCAATCCTCGTCTAATATCGATGGTGAGTGAATATAAATGCAAATGATTATGCGCCGGGTACGCGCGCACGTGCGTTCATTCGTGCCCATTATCCTCGAGCCGCGAGCAAGCACACGTGGGGGAGTGGGCTCGTACGCTCTTTCCGAGCGGCCAACGAATTAGTTTGCGGCCGGACTTCAACATTGCGAAAGTTTCGTGATTAATTTATTGGGCGGAAACACGCGCTCACTACATCTCCGTTGCCGGTACGTGGAAGTCGGAACGCGGAGTTTCAAACTCGCCCGGACTATTTCTGCGATTTCTGCAGAACCGCCGGCTCGCGATAGAGCGCACGGGATCTCTCGGTGCATCGACGAGACTGGGATTTCCGACGGTACTGTTCGTCGGCAGGAAATGCCTTTACGATATCGCGGAGCACGTCGTTCGACCTGTACGCGGGTGGTTGCCGGCGACAGGTTTTTACGATGCCGCGAAACGGCTCGCGAGACATCACGTTGAACTCCGTTCTCCGGCGTGATGAATAGTATTCGGAATCTAGTTGGGGAAGTGCACCGAAACCGATGTACCATTTCGTGTTGAAGCTCTCAAGTCCTGTTGAGAAAGAGAGATGAAAATTTACACGAAGGGATGTGAACCAGCAACACTTCTCTACGAAAATATATATTTTAGAGAGAAAGGGGAGATAAAACACGTTAGGCTTCGAGTGTTTACTTCTCATAAAAGAGAATGTCTTGATTAACCGTGTAGTGTCCGTTACGGTTCCTGTCGCCCTTCGGGATGCATAAATATCAGACGGATCTTATGCTCCATTAAGGTGGACGAGGTGGCCGGGTCGGTGTTGCTGACGTTTCGAATATTGCGGAAATAAATCACACACAGTGAGCCGACTCAAGTGTCTCATTAGAGTTGTAACCGAGCCACTCATACCGTTCCGCTCGCCTTTGATTCCAAGGCTGGTTCGCAACCAGCTCAGAACTGCTTACCCGTACTTGAACCAGATATTTTTCACGAAATGTCAATTTGACAACGGGAATGAATGCCGAGGTAAGTCGGACGATCTAATTATCATGAAGGTTCTTCCCCCTTTTGATACGTTGCTTTTCAATTATTCCTCGCGAGAAGCATGCAAGCGGGCGAATGAAGGGAAGAAGGTCGCGTATCATTTCAGCCCTTTCTATTCCACGCACAATATCTCATATCCTTTCACGATTCCTTCATTAAATTTTTAATACCCTTCTCAGTGCACGATGTGACTGCACAATGTGAATGCGTAAAAAGAAATAAGGAACTATCGAACAACGGAGATAAATTATATTTATATTATACGACCGGTCTTGGATAATTCAATTCATGCGCTTCACATGAAGTTGGGAACTCGATGGAAATTCCAGCTTCTTTTCACCAAACCGCTCGAATTAGTCGATTAATTTTATTTAAATTCAACTTCGACCAATCGTGCCATCGACCTGCTCGAACGTTTATTAGGCTGAAAATAAATTGAACGAAGAAGACTAACTTTAACATAATTATCTCGAGAAATACGTTGTATTCCTCCGTGCGGGGGGTGTGTTTAGCCTGTTTAACGACGTAAAGAGGGTTAAAGAGCCCACGTCATCGTCCCAAATCCGCTTCCCTCCACGTCTTTCCTTCAGCTCGCGCGCGCGTGCGTGTCCGTAAATCCGGGTTATGCCGGCGCTCCATACACGGTGAGCAGTTATGTCGTTGGCGGCTCGACGTGGCGCACATCGGACTGCGCTTCGGACAGGTAGAACGAGCGGAGGGGTCATTAAGCGAGCCAATAACAAACTCGTGATCCACATAACCCTTCGTTACGTTCGCGGCTGCTATTAGCCCGTGCAAGGCAGCAATCATTGCCCGCAGGTAGGACTCGTTTTGTAACGCGTCGAGGCGGTCGCGTCGTGCGAACTCATTATTTCCGCTTCTTCCTTCCGTACCTCCCCGCCCCTCTTCGTCGTACATCCCCCTGGCGCGATCCGCTTCTCGCTGCTCCTTCGCGTGGCACCTTCTTCCACCTCGATACTCTCCTTTTTTTCCCCCTCCCAGCGCTGCAGCGACCTTACGTAACGTCTCAGTTGCGTGTTCCTCCTCGCGCGCGCGGGGCTTGTTGCGCCGATGACTCGATTGTGTGCGCGCACCTGTGCGCGCACAGCACGCGACGAGCCCCCGGCGGAGGGACGCAAGGTGCAACAATGCGCATTATCGCGGCATGACGAATTGCGAATCCCCGCGAGTCAAGTGCCAGATGCGCGAGCACCGAGCTCGAATCTTGAAACGCTGTGTGAAACGCCAGCCGGGTAAAAATACACGTTGATATTGTCGCGTGATTCGTGCCGAGTCAAGGCGCGAGTAAAAATTCCACGCCTTCTCCGCGTAACAACGTAAGAATGGTGCGATTGAACGGAATCAATTTACTTGGAGACACACGTCTAATTATGTATCTCTCTGACATATTTTGTAATATGTTATATCTTGTAAATGTTACGATATTGTCGTGCAATCGTACGCAATCGTATGATTTACTCACTTCTTTCATCATATCGCGAACAACGAAGTTATCTGACAGGGTGTCGAACAATTCGTATAATTACATCGGATTGATTTTTCGTAAACTCGTTCGTAGCTGCGACATGTATAACACCTGTCATTGTTCTTCCCGGACAAACATATTGACTTACTTCTCTCTCTCTCTCTCTCTCTCTCTCTCTCTCTTATACATGCAAATCTATGCCCGTAGTTGCGTAGTTATCTCTATAGCGATTTTGCACCCTACGGCTCCCTTCCCTTATAACCTACCCCAGCAGGATCGCTACAGTACTTTTTTCACTCACGAATGCTTACATCTCCGAATAATATTCTTTGCGTGTATAATCGAGGCCGAAAATCACTGTGACTTTATTTCACCAACACAGGGAGCGAATGAAGAATTTTCGCGGGCCTTCTCTCCGTGTACCGACGTTTCCCCGCCGCTTCGAACGCACCGTTGGCACATTCATCGATATCGCGAAGATTTACGATCGTTCCGTATTACTTACGCCCGGCGGCTTTATTAGCATGATTGGTCGCCCCGAGGATAGATCGCGCAACCGGATCGTCCGTTCGGTTGGAAGCTCGACATCTCGATCTTCCGTTGCCGGTGGCTCGCCGCTTCGCTCGAAAGAAGTCGTCGTTCGATGCCGTGTAGTTACCGGCGCTTCGTCAGGACGATATTATTTGTAATTTGTTACGAGGGTCGCCTCGTTACGACCGGCTCTAAATCCTTACGATCTTCCTGCGGATGCCCACGGCGACGGGGCTCCCGCCCTCTCGCTAAGTACCCGAGAGCCTTCGAGCGTAATCTAAACCTCGGCCTTAATGAATTTTCTGATTTAATAAGAAAGTCACGTGTGTGCGCGCGTGTGCACGCAGCCCCACGCCGGACTCTTGCTACCGGACGAAAGCCAAACCTCGACACACACGCGGATACGCGCACTTGCCGCGTAATCACCTCGATAATGGCCCCGGTGAGTCCTTACATCAAAAAGCCGTGCGCGCAATTGATCCGGTCGATCCACCGGCGTGCGGCGCCGGACTGGTTCTAACGTACGGACGTAACGTATGGATTTCGGTAATCAACGGCGTGTAAGCATTCGTGTGAGATTAACGGCAGCTGGGAATTTAAGGCGGGGATTGAAAGCGATACCATCTCGGTGAGTTGAACGTTACGACGTTGCGGACGCCGCGCGAAAAACGGCTCTACGCCAGCTGTCGCCAGCTTCATCTACTACTTGCGCGTAACAGATTGCCATCGTGAAATCCAAGCTTGAGCTTCGCGGAATTATTCATCTCAGATTCAACGACCGATCATCGACCTTCGGTAGCCGACGTTCGCGCCACCGGAGGTAATATATTTGAAATCTCGCTGTGATTCGCGGTGAGAAATTTACACAGCATGATCACACTGTGCATCACTATCGTAATTGTCGTGATTATAATCGATATTGTAACAACGTTTGCTACATTTATAGCTTTCCTTACTATGATCTTGTGATCTTCTGCCGTTACAGTTCCAAATATCACACATTTTTCTCTCAACGTACGAAGAAAACAAATTCACACGAACGCGTATTAAAGTCTTCGTAAAGTCATCTGATCTCTGAAATCGACCCCTAAGATATTGGATACGGTATGCTCAACCAACATCCCGTGTATTCGTTCATTTACTACGACGTGAAAAATTTCCGCGCTCCCTCGGAATTATTTTTCCCCGTTGCACACACGGGGCTCGTTGGGGCGTAATGAAATTCTCTACGGCGGCGTGCGTAAATACGCGCGATTGATAACGAGAGACGCAGGAGTTAATTAAAGAGCAAATCGAGCACGAGGCTCGCTTCCCGACTCATCAGCCATTTAATAATCCCGAAAATTCCGACGATCAGGAGAGAGAGAGAGAGAGAAGACCCGCGTACTCGCTCACGGTTGTTCTATATGTACATACAGCCGTGGTGGCTTCGTGTCTCTCGCTCTTTCTCTTTCTCTCGCTCTCCCGACACGATTCTCTCGAGTGCCCTGCACCCGCCTCCTCTAATAACAATAATAATAAGAGGGGACGGAGGGCCGTTTTAATCAGAGGGTCCAGCCGCCTGACGTGATTAACTCTCGAAGGGCCGTGGAGGATCGAGGAAAAGGGCGGATGCCGCTGTCATTTCGGGTGTTTATCATATCAGCGAGGGGGCTGCGTTTCGGCGTCCCTCTCCCTGGGATGGGGTTGAATCTTGGATTTCGCCCGTGCGATTTGCACCTCCGTCCGCCGGCGTTTCCTTCCTGCAACCTTTCGTTTTATCGTCGCCGATCTCGCGCGACCTCCTCCGTCCCCCGTTTTCATTATTCAGCCGTTCGAGCGTGGAAAGTGTTCTTTTATTCTCGTCGCAGGTAATGTACCATACCGAGATAATGCGCGTGTTATGCAATGTTAATTCATTGCCGGCGGCTTTATCGGGACAAGTAGAAATAACGTAGTGGGGT